GGGGAGAAGAGGGGCGAGCCTTGCCGAGGAACGAGTGACGGGCACACGAGTAAATATATTGTTGTATCTTTATTGTTGTTGTTGCATGGGACTAGCGTAATAGACTGAGCCGTACACGTGGTTAAATGACTGTTCACGTAGCATCTCTTAAAATTAATTAACGCTAACGTTTACTTGTAATTATCATACGGTGTGTGTATCGCGCCCCCACCCCCGCGGAGGCCGAGTTACGGAATAAAAAGCGCGACAATCGATGGCCGGCCGCTCGGCGGCGGATCCTCTCTTGAATTGCATCGCCGAGGTCGATCCCTCGATCGTCGATCGCCGTCTCGATCGTCGAGCGAGGGAGAGAGACGGAGAGAGGGGGAGCTTTCGGCGACGAGCCGCGAGAGGTCCGCGCCGCCGACCTCGGCCGAGAATTCAAACACGTTTTTAGCGAGATACTCTACCAACGTAAGACACGCTTTCGAAAGCATTTTTGTAAGAAGAGTCCTTCGCCGTACACCGTTTTACTCCGAAGTCTTTCTATTTTTCTCGATTAAAGGTACTCTGAATTCGTCTCGAAGCTGGCGGTGGCCGATCATTTTCTCCCTCCGATTTTCCTGGATCGGTACTCTAAATTCACGTTGAAACGGACGGTGGTCGATCGTTTCCTCTCCGATTTTCCTCGATTAACACTTTGACTGCCATGTCACCCAGATATGGGTGGCATGGCAGTCAAATAAAATGCGCGTAGCTAAGTGTTAAAGGTACCCTGAATTCGCGTTGAAACAGCCGGCGGCCGATTAATTCCCTTCGATTTTCCTGGATTAAAGGTACCCTGAATTCGCGTTGAAACAAGCGGTGGTCGATAAGTTTTCTCCGATTTTTTCTCGATCAAAGGTATCCCCTAATTCACGTTGATGCAGGCGACGACCGATCGGTTTTTCCCCATTTTTCGCGATTAAAGGTATTCCGAATTCGCGTTGACGCAGGCGACGACTGATCGTTTTTTCCCCATTTTTAGCGCTTAAAGGTACTCTGGATTCGCGTTGACGCAGGCGACGACCGATCGGTTTTTCTCGATTTTTCGCGATTAAAGGTATGCCGAATTCGCATCGAAGCAAGCGGCGGCCGATCATTTTCCCCCGATTTCAGGTGGCGGGTGCTACTGGGAGTCTTTAGGTGGAGGAGCCGCCTCGAGGGGTCCCGGGGGCGCCCAAGATTCGGGAGGGCTCGGGGGAGAGCCTAAGTGATTGGTTCTCTTCATTAGAGCTCGCCGGTCGTAAGCCCCGGCACGGTTTAAGTTGAAGGACAGGTGTGGTAATGGAGCGTATCCGAGCCACCCCCGGCTCGGCAATACGGTACTAGATTTAACCCGAGTGCCGGCCCTAACCCCGTCCCCGAGGGCCGAGACCCTATTACGCGAATTGATTCGGCATCGAGTCTGCCCCCGGGGCGGGGGCGGAAACGTCGTTTAGCTCCTCGTAGAGGAGCGCCCCCCACTTTCCTCCACCCTCTGCGACGCGCCGGGGCGATCCAGGAAAAGAGCCGATTCGGACATGTCCGTCCCGCGTCCGTGACGCGTCCGTCCAGCGTCCGTCCAGCATCCGTCCAGCTTCCGTCCAGCATCCGTCCAGCATCCGTGACGCGTCACAACGCAAAATAAACCGATTTTATCTCAGTATTTTAATTGGATCAAAGGGGTATTCACTAATGAAATCATGGATCTTAACCATCGAAATCACGTGGAAATCAATTGAAAAACGCGAGCAGAAATCATTGGAAATCCCCGAAATCCTGTCAGACTTTTGAGGCCGGACGTCTCTTGTTACCGAATCGCATTGTTGTTTATCATATAAAATCAAATATAATCGACTCATTGATCATCAATCAAACACAAAAGAGACCATCGAATCTCGCGGGGGAAGCGTCCTTGCAACGTAGCACATCTAGAATTTTCTGCCAATTCCTCTAAAATTCTCTCCTTTCATAGAAATCACACCCAAAGAAAAAATTCCTTCAATTCTTTCTGAAAAGATTGCCGCCTTCATCTCGATCCTTACAGTAAAGTACACGTTCCATAATCTACTCCCAGTTCCTCCGCAATACTCTTAATTCCTAAGAGAAAATCCAAAAGATTCAATTCCGTCGATTCTCGCCTGAAGGTTCGCTCCTTTCGTCTCGATTCCAGCAGTGAAGCATACTTGCCAGAATGATCTGCCAATTCCTCTACACTACTTTCCCGTCCCAGGGAGAAATTCCTAAAAAAAAAATTCCCTCGATTCCCTCCAAAAAGTTCCTTCCCCTCGTATGGACGTATAGGGACAAACGTGTTGCGAGTACTCCGTCTGGCCGCGTCCGAATCGGCCTTAAAAAGAGAAAGAGCCGGGCTCGATTACGTTATTTATCGCGCAATCGGGTCGGAGGCACCTCGACGGGATGCGGAGGGTGGCGAAAATAGTTGATGCGGTGTCGGCCCTGTCCGAGGGGTGGCGCCCTCTACGCCGACCCCCGCCCCTTAATCTAATCCGAGGATAATCTAAAATTCATGACACACATAACTGCCAGGCGATGATATATCTGGCGGGGGCGTAAGGGCTGGCCTCCGCGAAACCTCGTTTCCCACCCGCCCCCGCCACCCGGCGGATCGCAGCCGAGTTATTATTTAACCGCCACCCCGGGCGCCCGGGCGACCGGCGAGGTCGGTCCGCGGGGGGCGCGTCATCGGGCGCGCTTCGCCCGAGGACGCTCGTAATTAATGGTCGTCCTCGGTTTTCGCGGGGTATTACCGCGCTGTTATCCGGGCCGAGTCGGCGCGGGAATGACGGGGCGGTCGTTTAACGGCGAGTCCGCCGGGGAAATCGCGCCGAGGCGGCGCCCCTCGGCCCGCAAACGACGGCCAATTTTCGGACGGGGGAAACTCGGATCGAAAGAAGCGACGAGGGGGTCTTAAATCACGCCGGCGGTCTCGCGAGTCGCGCGATTAAGGCGACGCGAACAACCGGGAATAAAAATGGTGGGTTGCATATCCCCACTACCGTTGGAAAATACCCACCACCCTAGTAGCATAGAATAATTTATAAATATTTCTCTGTAATCGTTGCTAAATATCTCGAGCGACAGACTTTTTCCAGATTTCTTGTAGATTTCGTTCGAAGATATTTGAAATATTTCTTGAAAATCTCAATGATATATTTAATTTCGATAATTTATAACACGTATGGAGAAATTATATTTTTTTAACTTATTAACATAATAAAGATACATTTTTTACTTCACGACTGTTATCGGACACTTCATTTGGTATCGAAAGACACGAGACATTTATCTAATATTTTCGTCCCGCTATTTCATTATGGGAGCGAAACGTGGGATTTTGATTTTTTTATATTTTTAAAACGTTTATAATATATTCGGCGGATAATATTTAAAAAATACTTGTATTGAAATGAAACGAAATGTTTTGTATACCTATCCGGTAGAAAAATATTATGAAAACACATGGAGCTAATATTATATAAATATTATAGAGATCGTATTCTAAAGTAAACGTTTTGCAAATATTTCAAATGTCTGGTAAATATTTACAAAATGTACGATATTCGTTAAATATATAGAAAATATAGGAGAAATATTTTGCGCTACTAGGGCAGTTTGTACGAGCGGTATGATATGCAACTACGGACAGGAAAGAATAACTTTATAAATTGGATTTTCTCTTTCTGTAGTTGTATATCATGCCCCTTGTACGGACTGGGGTCTGTTTCGCAAATACGTTGTTCTCAGGGAAAGGCGAGCTTGAACGGGTAGTTTCTCCGATAAACTTTCTTTCTTTTTTTCTCGTCTGGAAGATGAACGAAGGGACGCGTCTGTAATTTTAATGCGCGATTTTGACACGTGATCTCAACACGTGGTGTTGAGACCGACCTTCAAAAAATGGACTTCTAAAAACAAATTTGTATTATTTGCCCCTGTTTGCTTCCGTAAAGTCCTAAAGTAACAATTAGGGGAACGAGAAACCAACGAGACTGCTCTAGCCCCGTGCGTCGCTTCGGTCGCGAGGAAAAAGGTTCAAGCCAGCGTCTCACCGAACGCGGCGCATCGTCGCGTCGTGCATGGAAACCCCCGAAAAACGATGCGTGTAATCCCCTGCCGTTCGTTGACTAATACTTCGACATATTAACACTAATACTACAAACGTGAACATCACGAGTTGAATTCAAAATCAACGATCCAATTTTTCATCTCAAGAAAATAATTGTTTCTCCCAATCGTATACGATTCAGATATATTTGTCTTAGCTAACCAATCTCTTTCTCAATGTAGACTCGGACATTGCAGAGTTAATTCATACGACAAGGGATTAACCAATGAGATTCCTCTAGCCCCGTGCGTCACTTCGGTCGCGAGGAAACAGGTTCAAGCCAGCGTTCCACCGAGCGCGGCGCATCGTCGCGTCGTGCACGGGAACCCCCGAAAAACGGTGCGTGTAATCCCCTGCCGTTCGTTGGCCAATACTTCGACCAAACATGACTATCACGAGTCGGATTTCAAATCAACGATCCAATTTATCTTTTCAAGAAAAAAATTGTTTCTCCCAATTGTATACGATTCAGATATATTTGTCTTAGCTACCCAAACTCTTTCTGAAGGTTGACTCGGGCATTGCCGAGTTAATTCATACGGCAAGGGATTAACAACCACCACGATGCCCCGCTTCCGCCGTGGTCTGGACCGGTGCTCCGATTCCGCCGCGTCGACGCGGCGCGTCCAGTGCGACGCGGTACGCGCCTCGGGCCGTTTCTTGCCCGGCGAGAGGAAGGAGTCCGTCCGGGGCGGATAACGGCGCCCCGGGGACGCCGAGGCGTCGCGTAACGCGATTATCCCCCGGCCCCGGTTGGCCGGTCGTCCCGTTGATTTATCCGCGCGGCGCGGCGTTATTGCATTAGCGCCCGACCCCGGCGGCCGGTCGGGCGTGAATCATGCCGGGCGTCTCGGCCGACTACTCACCGGTCGGCCTACGCGGGCCTCTCGAGGCCGAGGGCCTCCTGGTGGCGGCGCGCCTTTAGCCGGAGGTCGGCGATGCTGCTGCTCTTGGAGCGGGCGGCGGCGGCCGCGAGGCTCGCGGCCAGCCCGAGAGGGTGCGGCCCGGGCGGCAGACAGAAGAGGCCGCCCGCGGCCGCGTAGCGGAGGACGGCCGGGTCGAAGGCGGAGGCGGTCGGCGGCGCGGCCGCGGGGTGCAGCCGGAGGGCCGGCAGGTAGGGCGCCACTCGGCACGGCTCCAGCGACGCCGGCGGGCTCCGGGGGGCCAGCACCATCCCGCCGGCCACCGCCGCGCCCCCGGCGACCCCAGCGACCCCTGCGACCAAGGAAGCAGTCCGGTGACAGGCGGCCCACAACACCTCCACGCGGACGGAGCCCGGCCTACCTTTGTGCAGCTGGCTCTCGTGTTTCCGGCACTTGGCGCGCCGGTTCTGAAACCAGACCTGGACCCGCGCCTCGCTGAGGCCCAGCCGCTGGCTCAGCTCCTCCCGCATGAACGCGTCCGGGTAGTGGGTCTCGTCGAACAGCCGCTCCAGCTCGGCCAGTTGCTCCAGCGTGAAGTTGGTCCGCGACCGCCGCTGCTTGCCGTTCCCGGTCCCGCCGCCGCGGCAGCCTGGCGCTGCGGACGCACCCCTTCGTTAGTGGAGCTCGAGAGTCCTCGGTAACAGAAACTTGGAATAGGTACCCGCGAAACGTACCGTAACTGTCCGAGAATATCGAGAATGAATGAGACGGTTAATTTTATATTTATACTTTATACTTTAAAGCCACGCGTCTTACAGCATTCGCTTATTATTCGTGATACATGAAGTAGCGTATTTAACGCAAATGGGTTAAAATGGTTCAGTTGCACGTAGGAGTATTTACTGGAAAAAAACTTAAAAGCTGCATTTATATACATATATCTTTTGTTCTTTACGCAGGAGCCGAGTATCCGCCGAACGGTAAGTAGAGTCTTTCGATTACAGGGGGCGCAGAAAATCTTTTTTAAATGAGATAAATCGTCAATTAATCTTATTTAGAGACCATTGAGATCGAAAAGGAATTTCTGCCATGTTTTCATAAGAAATATTCCTAGAGGCGTCGCGCCGAGGTAGCGCGTCCTCCTCGAGACTCGGCGCGATGAAATCTCCCGGAGGCTCGGAGGTTATTTCGCCCCAGGGCGAATCTCAACTCCTTCGCTCGCCCTGGGCGCGGGGCCACGAGCAAAGGCACGCTCGGCTAATTAACGGCGCGCGATTCAACGAGCGAGCGTTTAAGGGCGCAGCGAGTTGCCCCCGGGGTGAGGCCGGGCCGGGGATTAAGCACCTCTCCGACGAGGGGGACGTGATTTATATAATTTAGCAAAGTGGCGAGCCGCGGCCTCCCGCGTTTCCCGCGTTTCCTTCGGCTTTCGAGTTCCGCGGGCCGTCCGCAGGGGCAGGGGGGCTGGGGTCCCGAGAAGGAAGAGACGGACGGCACGACGCCCGTCAGGGGGCGGAAGGGCGGGGGCGCCCGAGTACCTCTCTCGGTAATCGAATTAGCGACCCCTTGTGTCCAAGTGTGATTGCTTCTGGCCCTTCGGGGAGACCCGGGGTCGGGACGACTCTCTCTCCCCTCGGCGCGTTTCGCTGGGCCGATTTCATCCCTAATTGACGAGTGGAAACTCGACGAAACGTGATTTGGCTCCGTGGCCGGGCCCGCCGCGGGGCGCTAAACCGCGCGCCCGGTCGGAGAGGGCGGTTTTAAACCGCCGCACATATGGGAGCGGAAACGATCGCGAAGGGGTGCAGCGATGAGAACCGTGGGTGCTGACCTTGCGAGGAGACGCATCTTGTTGGGTTGGAGAACCATGCTGGGGGGGAGGGGGCGCCGAGACGGTCTTGGGAAGATTGTTGGGGGATGACGGGAGGCGGTCACGACGCTTTTAAGAAATGCCGATGTGACGCTCACGAAACAGCTGAGAGACGGATGCTAGACGGTTACGAGACGATCGCGAGACGGTCAGTACCGTCCAAGGGCCATAAATGCGTTCGGGATCGCGAGGCGAGTATCGAGCAAAGTGCTCTCCCCCGCCCCCGGGGGTCGTCGGTTGACGAACGGCGCACTCGGGCCGACGCCTCCCCGCCGTCAAAGTCCGCCGAGGACTCGAGATATTTATTATTTGACTTTTCCGGTTTCCCGGGGCGGAGGGTCGGCCGTACGTTACGGCCGCGCCTGGGCGGACGAGGGCCGCGGGGGTGGCGGCCAGATTGCTTTTTGATTTGCGCTTAATCGGGAAAAGTTATGGGCCCCGGGGAGACGGCGCTTACGCCGTTTAGGTGCTCTCGCGGGGACGCACTCGACGCCGCATCCGCACCGAGTCGGACCAGGGGAGGGGGAGAGTATATTAAACCATAAATCCGCGACCGCGCTTCCTTGCCCCCGCCCTCTAACCGGAACCATCGCCGTTTCGGATGCGGTGCGTCGCGAATCCGTCGCGTCGCTAGTCCATTGCATCCCGTCGCGATTCCGTTTTATCGCGGCTCGATCACCGTGTGTTGCGTCGTGATTCCGTCACGTCGCGTCGCCTATTTCATTTTGTCGCATCATAATTCCTGCACGTCATATTGCGATTTTATTTCGTCGCATCATAATTCCAGCATGTCGTATCGCGATTTCATTTCATCGCGACACGATTTCGACACGTCGCGTCGCCATTTCATTTTGTCGCGACTCCATTTCGTCGCATCACAATTCCAACACGTTGCATCGCGCTTTCATTTCGTCGCGACACGATTCCGATATGTTGCGTCGCGCTTTCATTCCGCGCGACAGGATTTCGACCCGTCACGTTGCAATTCCATTTCGTCGCGTGACGATTTCAACACGTCACGTCGCGATTCCGTATCGTTGCGTGACGATTCTAACCCGTCACGTCGCGATTCTGTATCGTCGCGTGACGATTTTAACACGTCACGTCGCAACTCTATTTCGTCGTGTGACGATTCTAACCCATCACATCGCGATTCCGTTTCGTTGCGTGACGATTCCAACCCGTCACGTCGCAATTCCATTTCGTCGCGTGGCGATTCCAACCCGTCACGTCGCGATTCCATTTCATTTTGTCGCGTGACGATTCCATTACGTTACGTGACGATTTCAACCCGTCACGTCGCGACTCCATTTCGTCGTGTAATGATTCTAACACGTCATGTCGCGTGATGATCCTAACACGTCACGTCGCGTGATGATCCTAACACGTCACGTCGCGACTCCGACCTGTCGCGTTGCGATTCCAATGGGTCGCGGTGCAGGGCATCGGAAGAGGGTCGGAGAAAGTGGAGCTCCTCCCAATCGCTCGTCAGTGTAACTGGATTCGAAGCGTTGAATTATAGAAGAAGGGATACCCGCCGGCGTTCCTTACCCTTGGAGTCCTCCTGTCCTGCAGTCCGATGCGGCTGCTTGGGGTCGGGCGATCGGCGGCGAGCCTCGGGGGCGCTCTCGGGGCTCGGGGAGCGCGTCCTGGGGTCATCGGCGGGCGGCGGAGAGGGACTGCAGCCGAGCAACTTGCGGACCGAGAGCTTGAGCTCGGGTGTCCTGGGAGTCGTCCTGGGCGTCTTGGAGGTCAACTTGGGCACCGTCGCCTGGGCGTCCCGCGCCGCCACGGAGAGGTCCTCCGGCGAGGACGGCGCGTCCTCGGGCCCGGTGCACGCTTCCCGCACGGAGTCCTCGAACGGCGCACTGACATCTGCTTCGCACAAGGTTCATTAAAAAACATCTCCCGTCCTAATCTTTCGACGTTATCTCGAAGATGCCTGAGGCGCGGTTGCCCCAACGTTCGAGTTAAAATCTCAAAGATGTTACAACAGGATTTATCCATAAATACGAAAACGTCAAAATATCGACAGAACTCTTCTCAAAATTGGTTGCACCGAATAATTTAATACTTTAACCCGTGATTACGGAGGTCCTACCGAAGGTCTTGACACTCCCGAAATTTCACTTTTAGGAAAAAACATTTTCTTCATTTCTTCTCGTTCGGGAGAATTACAATTTCTTCTTTTATTTTTTTAAAGTTAAAGTATCAGCAGTTTCGAGATCTTCGTTGGATCTATATAATCACGGGTTAAAGTTTCAAATGATTCGGTGCACCCAGCTTGTCGAAACGTTATATAAATATCATCACGTTAACCCAAGGATTACTTGACGCGCGATTAGAGTTAATCCCTCGACGTCGGATGGTTACCAATGGATGTTAATTTTCCTCGATGCAGCCACAAATTGCACTAATCCAAGATTAACCAATCGTACTTAAGAAATTTCTTTTCTCCCTGATCGCGGTTGGGGCAAACGGACGTTAGAACGGAGGCGACCTTGCGAGCGCCGATCTCGCGAGTCCGCGGGGGGTCGAGGCGTCCCCGAGGTCGCCTCTCGCGACGCCGACAGGAGGCGGCTCGTTCTCTCTTACGAAGTGGCCGGGGAAAGACGTACGTCGGCGGGGCTCCTCGGGGCCGTCGTCGCACTCGCCGGTCGCGAGGTCGGCGGGGCCGCGGGCGCGACCCCTGACCTCGCGAGCCGCGTCCTCGAAGCTCTTGGAGACGAACTGGGCCAGCTGCTCCATCCTCGGGGACTCGCTCGGTCCTCGGCCACCCGGAGCCGGGCTCCCGGGTGCCGAGCGCGCCCCGCCCCCGCCGGCCAACCGGGTGGGCGGGGGGGCCGTCCTACGCCACGCCCAGTGGCACCACCCCTCTAGGGCAGGCCACTCCTCTCCGATGTTGGCGGCCCGGCCGAAGCCCGCATCCCCGGCGACCTTAAACTTGGCGTCCCCCGTCCTCCCGCGTCTTATCGCTCTGACCGCGGACGAGCGCGGATCTCGCCGACAGCTGAGGCGCGCGCGTCCCGAAATTCAGATTTCGCTCGCTTCAACCCACTTCAAACATTCCCGGTCTGATCTAATCGTACATTGAGAGTAAAACATGCCTCAATGTTAAACCGCGCCTTGAATCCCAGTATTTACGTCGGAAATAATACATCCGTTGGAATCAATTTCCGTTACGGCACCTTACACGCCGAGAATAACGTATCCCTTTTATTTAAACCCTGTACATTGAGGATAAACCGTCCCTAAGATTTAATCCATGCGGTGGAAACTCGTACGGAACTGAAGCGTCCCTGGGTACACGAGAATTCGTAGGTAAGGACTTCGAGGGGAGGAAGAGGGCGAGGCTCGACCCCGCACGTCGCCCGGCGTGTTTGCCGGCACCAAACTCGGCAATATTTAAATGGGATTGCGTTCGGGGCTGTAATTGCTCGCGCAAACGTTCGGCGTTGCGGCCATGGCCGGGCCGGGTTTGTGTGCACGGAGGGTGTGTCGAGCCCGGGAGGGGCGGGGACTAGAGTCTCGGGCGCGCGGCGCCCGCCGGTCGCCGTTCACTCCTCGCGGTTCGATGTTGCTTGTCGTCTCGTCGATCCTCGGATATTACTCATCGACTCGTCGTACCTGGTTGCTCGACCCTCGTCCCCCCGGTACGACGACCGGTTCACTAGCACGATTTCATTGGAAAGGTCGGCCGAATATTATCCGTTAGGGCAAAATCTAATGCGGCGTGACGGGACGGCTCTCCCTTGCAGGGCCTCTAGCCAAGGAATCTCGGCAGTGGGAGGGGCTCGTATTCGCGGGTCTAGGAGAGGGGCAGGAGGGTGGCGGCAGGACGAGGGGGAGCTGGGGTAGGCAACGTCCCGTAACGCAGGCAGACGGAGCCAATCAGGGCGCAATGCGATTACCTTAACGAGAAATCCGATTACTTATTCATTCTCCTAACTGGAAATCAGTTTAACTAATCGTTTAATTCGGTCGCTCGGCGCACTCCGGTAGGGGGCAGGGCGGAAGGGGGAGGGGGGGATCGCGCCACCGCGCGTGGCGGCGTTCCGCGAGAGGGGTGGGGAGGGGCCTCGTTCGATTCAATTACGTAATGAATTGTCGTGTCTCGAGTAAACACCCTTCCTCGCCGACCGCGATTCGCGCGGGAGGGGCGGGTCGGCCCAACGGAAAGGACCAATCAATCCGCGCCGAGGACTTGCCCTGAAGAAATTCCGGGGAACCCACTGATGCGTGGACATGTGTGTAACACGGATACCGCGAGGGAATACCGCGGAGCGACGAAATTCAGGATTTGATGTCAATCGCCGCCATTGTTGGATTGGTATGTATATTTTACTGTTCTCCTTTCTTAGATTCTCTTGAAATGTCGTTAGTCGCATTCTTCATGGCGATGGCGTCAAGAGGTGGAAGAACGAACGTTATGTAACGCGAACGGTGAGTTTGTTCTTTTTTAAAGAAATTTTAGTTAAAATACGGGTAGAACGGTAGTATAATGGTCAACGTGACGACATTTACTTCTAAATCTTAGGTTTAATCCCCGAGAAGATTATTGCGGCGTTTAGGGGGCAGAGCTGTCTGCAGAGGCGTACTCAGACTTGCTCGGGACGTGTGTCAAATTTGTTTGCCTGCGGAAGAAACGTCGAAAATCAGGTACTGTTAAATACGTATTTGTTGTGTAAATATGGGCTCGCTATTTTGGAAACACCTTGTATAGTCAGACGTGATATCAGGGATCGCGGTCGCTTCGATCAGAGGATCGAGGTCCTACGGATTTTGTTTCGCTTCTGAGCCTGCAAATTTGGTTCCGCTTCCGGTCTTGCAAATTTTGTTCCCCTTCCGGTTCCCCGACCTCCGGTAGCCATGATGGCGCTCCTCCGGGCGAGGCTCAAAATCATCCCCGGTGCCATCGCTTCGAACGTGAGTCGACACTTCTCGATAACATGCCGTATTTCGATGAGTTTGTACCGATGGCCCATGTTTCGCTCGAGAATATCTTTCTACATACCCTGGTGGCCATTCGACACCGTTATCGGGCCAGAGTGTGGCGTAGAATAAAGAGCTCCCACTTCCATGTAAAAGTAACTCTACAATTGTCAAGTTGGCCAACGGCGACACTGGCGACTCTCGCGGAAAAATGTAACACTAGAATATTCAGGAGAGGCCGTCACAATGTCTAAATAGTGCAAGATAATCACGAAATGTTTGTATTTAATTTATATTTATATAATATTTTTATTAACCCAGCTAGACATTTATTATTATTTCTTAAAAATTCGTACGTGTTTACATGCGCGCTAGAAGATGTTTATAACCTAACGGATAGAGATGTGGCGTGCATCTGCGATATCCTCCACATTGGAAACGTAATTTACTGGTTTTCTATGATTTTCTGTGGTCAGCAACTTAGTTACGTAGTACATAGCAAAGTCCAAAAAAACGCGAAATTACCCAACCCTGAGGACACCTACAGAAAACCTGGAGTCAGAACTTCTCGATGAAAAAAAAACGAACCATAAAGGGAGAGCACCTTATACATTCTTATATTTTCTTACGGGTTTGTGGCCAGCTGTTATATTTTGAGGTTACTTCAAAACCGAGACCGATCGGGGAGAAAAACGCCCCGCCCTTTGTCGCGTCCTCACCCTTCGATGTTCCAGATTCGCGCACGCGCAGACTGGCCCACGATCTCACCGGAGGCTGCGGGGACTCGAAAACCCGAATGTAAAAACGTCCCTTCGCCTCCACGAAAGAAATCCTGGTTGAACTTCTGTCGCAGCCCTAAAGAGTCGACCGACTGCTCGCCGGCACCTTGCGACGACGAGACCTTCTTCGAGTACTTGTTCGGCCGACCACCCCGGAAGCCTGACCCTTGCACCTGTCGTCTGGCCCATCGTAAACGTGGCTGGAAACCTCCCTACCAGGTCTCGGGTCAAGAGTCCCCTCCTTTTCAAATAATTTCTCCTTTTTATGGCGTTATGAAAGTGTGGTGTACATATGTATACCAAGAACTGAAAATGTTGATAAAGCTTTCCTCCCAACTGGGCGCATCGAATAATCAGAAACTTTAGCTCGTGATTAGTGAAGGTCCTAACGAAGGTCTTGAAACTCGTGAAATTAGATTTTTCGCAAAGAAATTCCCTTTTTGGTTCTTGTCCGGGTTAACTTTTTTTTTTTTTAGAAAAATGAAGTTTCGACAGTTTCAAGAGCCCTATTAGGATCTCCATCACGTGTTAAAGTTTATTCGGCGCACCCGGTTTGAAGAAAAGTTCTATAAATCGAGTTTTTGGTACATATATGATACTTTCATTACACCTTAATGGGCGCTTTCCTTTCATTCTTTTCCATAGATGATTCCAGGGGGCACTCTCGTCTACCTGGGGACTTCAAGCTCTAAGGCGGCGGAAGTTTCTAAGGCAGCTGTGGTGCGATGCTGCGAGAACCTTCCACGTGATACTTGCAAGAAGATCTCCAGGTACGAGCAGCTCCGAAGATTGACAAAACAGGCGAAGAAATGTCCCTGCCCTCCCGAGATCGCGGTAGAAGAGACGAAGAGGACCGGAAGAAACGAAGAACGTGGACCCTCTCAATGACTTATTAAGATCGAATTAATACACGCCATGCTTCTTGAAGGAGAAGAACGCTTTATTCGGTGACAGATCGTGATACAAGGTTGCTTGCGTTACACGTAGAAATACTTAACTTCAACCGAAGAGTGGTCGATCTTAAGGTGGCCTCACATGTAACGACAAACTGTCGCGTTAAGGTGACATGAAAGTGGCGTCAGAGTTCGCGTGGGTGAAACTTTTCACGGACCTGGGTGTACGGAATCGTTTCAAACTTCACAATGTGAATATGGAGGCTACAAGGTCCTGTTACCCATGAAATAAGATTTTTGTTTAAATTTTATGGACATTATTACAATTATTTGTAAGAAATGAAATTTCATATGTGTCTGGGCATGCTTTATAGCCTCCATATTAACAGTGCAAAGTTTGAATTGAATACACCTAGTTCGGAGAAATGTTTCATGAGCGATTGACCCTTCGAATGCCATTTTCACATTACCTTAACCCCTTGGCCTATACGATATATGCCAATTGCGTGACTTTGCCACGAGTCAGACTCGTGGTTATAGGCCACAGGGTTAAGTTCGCGGAGGTCATTCTATACAAATTTGACCAGTTATAGACGCTGCATGAGAACTCGACTTAAACGCACAGATTGAAATATCGCCACGATTTATCGTTACGTGTATATCCACCTTCATACCTTACACGGTAAGGTCTGTTCTTCGTGTGAAGTCACCTGCGGACTTCATCGACTTTGGACAAAGTGCTGACGATCAAGGGCCGAGACGTAATGGCGACGAAACGCGTGTTTGAGAGTGATCCACCGGTCGCGATCGCAAGGCGATCGGTGGACCACGTGTCATATTGTAGTTATCAGGTTTTATAAATACACCTGCATCAAATTGCACACGTATTCGATACAGGCTACTCCTAGATAAGGAAGGTAGGGCCCCCTCGCGAAGAATACTCGCAAGAGTGGCCGCCTCGACGGCGAAGGGGTCTGATTACTGTTCATTGCACGAAGCGTTGTATTGTCTCGTGGTCTCGAAACTTGTAGAGGTCGTCGAGGTTGTCCCACCAGGTGAGGAGCTTGTGGTTAAGGACGAGCTGGAACCACGGGCTCAGAGGGGAGTTGATCTTGACGAAGTCGCTGAGACTCGCTCTGGAGACCCACCGGATTTCGCTGACCTCGTCGGGGTTCGGATCCACGGTGACCTCGTCCTTTCTTAGGAAGAGAATGTAGTCTATCTCGTGCTCCCCCCAGTAGCCGTCACCCGGGGCCTGGTAATGGATTCGGGTCAGGTAGAAGAAGTCCTCCACCGGGACCTGTTCAGGAGGAATTCCAAGCTCATAGCCCAATCTGCGTTGGGCTGCTCTCCGGACACCCAGTGCCTCTTCCTCCTCGATCTCTCCGGGGATCTTCGCCAGAGGGTGGCTGCAGCAGGTGTTTGTGTAGTGCCCTGGGAAGGTCACCTGAAATGGCACCGAAATGCATGAGTTGATTCCCTTACGTGTTAGTTCATTGACTAATTTTTCTACATTTTAACGGAATACTCGGCATCAACCGAGCAATGTAACGAGATCCTCGCCTCATGTTAATAGGCAACGCAACTCGAGGTTCTAACTCGCTAACCGTCTAAAGTGGCCGGTGCGTTCCACTTGTGATAATCACGTAGCGCGATACATATGAAGGAAAGGCTCGTGGCCTTCGACTCGGCACGGCGAAGGGGAACGCTCTTCATTTGATCACCGATCTGCGAATGCTGCAATCAACAGGGTCTACTTCAGAAATGGAGCATTTCGCGCTTTTTAAACAGTACTCGTCATTCGATCCTCTGGAGGATTGCGATCGACTCATCCGATAGAAAAAACTTTCTACTTTCTCCGAGGATGCCACGCCGCTAAGGTGCATACCAAAAATTCCATGCCGCTGATTTCGAGGCTGGAATGCCGCAGGCTATTCACAGATCGTCGTTGCTGGTCGATTTTTAGGAAATCCACCATGAGGGTACAAAGGTTCGGTCCAATTGGGTTTATCAAATCTGGAGCTCATTCAAATGACTACCCACAGTTTATTTAGGCTGTTCATTAGATGGCATCAGGGTTGTGATTGTCAATTATCTTGATACTTTTTACTTTCTTCGTTAGTTTTATCCTTTGGAGGGGATTGCAAGGAGAACGAGAACGATTATGCAAACTGGATTGCACCACCTTGCATATAAATGTTAATGAATATTAAATTGGCATTTTTCAACTTCTCTATATGTGCTTGTAAAAAAAGTAGGATTTATTCCTTATGTAAAATTTGTCCGGGGTCTGTTATATAATTGCAGGGGACTATGTTGGAGTATTGATTCGTTCGTTGTACATTGCACTTTGAAAATTATTAATTAATGTCGCTCTATATATAAAGATCTGCTCACCTTGTTAAGAGATCGTTTCTGGAGCAGCAGATCTCCCTTGCGATTGAACATGAAGACGCTGAATGCTCTGTGAAGAGGTATATTTCCGGCTTCGCCGACTCTGTGGCAATACCTTTTAGAGGCTTCGCCAAGAATCCTGTCGTTCTCATCTACGAGTATACACTGTTCCTCCAGGGCGGCTTCTTGCAACGGGGCGACCTGCATTTTGGCGTAATAGCCCCTCACAGAAGAGGAGAGTTTCCTGACAACTGTGCAGAGCTTCTGGCTATTCTTCAGCATTCTCGGGCAGCAACTAAGACCGTACTGCGGTGTTGGGCACCAACCGTTTTTACCTACCGCACGAAAAAGTAAATTTGCATTAGTTGCTGTTCACGTAATTCAAGCAGAAATAACAAGCCGAGTTAAACATCATATTTAGCATAATCACAAAAAAGATGTAAATTCAAATTTTTCAGATGGACGGGGTTATTTCTTTGCCTCTGTATTGCGACAATTGTCATGGAGATTAAGACTTCTGATGAAGATAACCTCTCACTCACTGGACTGCAGCAGATCCTTCTTTTCGGAGCAGCGATCCACGGAATGACTTGATCCGTGAGCGGAGAACTCATGTCTGAATGTATTGGAATAAGTCGTAGTGAAGAAGGTTGCTCGACCCCTTTGCAGCTACTCGTAGCTCTCTCTTTATCGCCCGCCACACACAGGTTGAGGCTCGTAACGAGCTACTCCGAGTTGCTGGCTGCAAGGTCGTCCAATATGAGCAGGTGGTTTCCATTTAACACCTCTTCGATTATCATACGAATCACGTCTCACATAATCGCGGAGCGTCTCGATTTGCATGAGTCATGAATTATATCTCGAATCACTGTTTATTTTCGTACGGTTCAATTATTGTAATTTTTAAAACAGGCTCCAATTTCGTGAAAAATCAGTGGAACGGCAAGCTCCAGTGCGTTCTAGTGTCGGAGGATGTAGCAACTTTTCATAAGATCTCTCTCACAGTTGAGAGACCAGGCTGTCTCTGTAACATGCATTTTACTATATTCCACTAACGGGCTCGACAAAGACACTCTTATGCAGAAACAGTATATGGTCTTTTAACCATTCTGCTTCCCTCATACCCGGAACTAGGAAATAAAGCGATGATCAGCAGAGATGAGTTGGGAGATTGCTCACGGGCAGGGTCGTTGGATCGCATCCTGTGCTGCCCTCTGGTTTCGTACGTTAGCATTCACCATTTTTTGCCCCCAAGGGCGGCGCAACGAATTTCTGATAGGAGCTCGCGCACTCGCGATGGCGGTACCATCTACCAGTCGCCATTGGCGGCTCACGTACTCGTGATGGTAATA